CTCCAAGACCAATAAACACAGACCAAGACTCCCAACCAATCAGGATGAAGAAAGAACCATTCTGGCACAGCAATAGGCTGCCCAAATTTAAATCTGAAACCACTATAAAAGTCTGACTCACAGATGAACACTATACAGAAGCCTGATGATGGCAGATGAGATTCTGCCGAAACGTTGCTACAACTTTAAAAGCACAACTACAATGACGTGGGAAAATACCTGAACAAAGCTGAATACTATATATATATATATATATTTATTAACCTTCATAATCTTACTTTCTCTAATTTCTACCTCTTTTCTCTATCCATTCATAGAATTTATTCCAAGTCTGAAAGTATTCTGAATCATCTTTGTCTTTAATTTTTAAAGTTAATCTATCCATTTCAGCACAGTCCCAAATTTTCCTGATTATAACCTCATCCAATGGAATATTCATATTTTTCCAGTATTTAGCATATGTAATCCTTGCTGCCCTCAATATGTGTAACACTAAATATGTGGTCACTTTGTCAAGATCCTCTGATAGTATACCTAAATGGCACGTTTCTGGTTTAAAATCAATATTTTGTTCGGTTATCATTTCCAGCCATTTATGTATATTCCTCCCAATATTTTCTCGCTTTATTGCATGTCCACCACATATGGTAATAGGTGCCTGAGACCTGGTTGTATTTGCAATATTAGGAGATAGGTTATCAATCTTGCAGGTGGTAAATGCCACCTGTAAAACATCTTATAGAGATTTGCTTTGTAAGCTGAAGCCATAGTCATTTTGTAATTTCTGTCCCAAAGTTTTCGCCAATTCTCTAATTCTATATTATAGCCAAAGTTTTTGCCTAGGCAATCATTGTTTCTTTGACTATTTCTTCCTCCATTTTGTAGTTCAGTAAAAAATTGTATATTTTTAAATCAGTTTTTCATCCGTCCCCATTAAAATTGTATCCAATGCTGTAGGATCTTTATTTATACCCCATGTTCTAACATCTTTCTCATATCTTGACTGAATCAGAAAATACGGCCACCAAGCTACTCCCTTGGTCCTGTAGTTGTTGCCTTGATTTAAGTTCACCCCTCTCATTTAAGATATTTTTATAAGAGTACATTTTTTTTCCAAATTAATGAGATTTGGATATATAAGTGCCTCCATTGGGGAGAGCCAGACTGGTATTTCCCTATACTGTTGTGGTTTAAAAATGTTTATGAATGAAAATTTATAAAAATAATAAGAATACCATTGTAATTTTGAAAGATCACTGCATGAATGATTGTAAGTCAAGGACTACCTGTAAATAGATGTGGGGACAGGGTAAAAAAAATATGGCGATGGATCACAATCCATCACAAACAGTCTGCAGGAGTGCTTTATCAGGTAAAGTCATGGATTCAAGGCAGTTCTTGAGCCATGCCAGAACAGTAGATCAATCTGAAATAATCTGAGAGGATATCCTTCTGCTTCCAAGTCACTACAGAATGCAGAATTTCTCATACTGTGGTAAGCAGTCTAAGCACCTGATGACGGAGTTTAGACTGCTCCATTCTTCATCCGTGTTGGCCTGCAGCCCCTTGATCATCCTTGTTGCTTTTCTCTGCACTCAGAGTCTCAACATTCTGTGTTGACATAGGGCAGTTGTGGCTAACCTTTTGGGGCTTCTGTGCTGAAAATTGTGCGCTCGCTCACGCTCATGTGCTCGTGTGCCAGCACCTAGAAGGCAATGCACGTGGCATCCCCCTGCCCCCTGCGCATGTGTGCGTGATCCCCCCGCCACCCTCTTACCTGCACTGTGCGCCTCCCAGCTGATTTTGTCCCGTTTGAGGCCTTTTTCCCTCAGAGGCTCGAGGGAAGCCTCTGTAGCCTTTAGAGGTCGAAAAATGGGCCTGTTTTGTCACTTCTGGTATTTCTGGAAGGCCCATTTTTTTCACCTCTGGAGGTTGCAGAGGCTTTCCTCGAGCCTCTGGGAGGCTGAAAAAGGCCTCAAATGGGACGAAAATCAGCTGGGAGGCACGCGCATGTGCAGTGCAGGAAAGTTTGGCTGGGGCTCGCGTGCCCGCACAAATGGCTCTGCGTGCCATCTGTGACATATATGCCATAGGTTCGCCATCATGGAGATAGGGTTTACTTTACTGGTTGATGACTTAACATTTGCATACCTTATGACAGATATTACAGATTTTAAGCCCATGCTTATTCCTAGAATTGTAGAGTTAAAGAGAACGTGGAGATCATTTAGTCCAGGAGCTTCAGGGTAGAATTGCAGTACAGGATCTGCTTTTACAAGCCAAATAGGTAATTGTCTAGTCTTCAATGAAGAAGGGCCTCTATTTCCCAGGCATACCCCATTTACAGCTTAACCTTTCCCAGGATTTAACTTGAAATCCTTCCATTTTTCACCATTTCATTTGGATCCTTCTGTTTAGAGTAACAAAAAGCAGTTGTACTTCGTTTCTGTTTGAAAATTCTCCAAGTATTTTAAGAAAGTGATTGCATCTTCCTTTAACTTTCTTTTATTCTAGACAATTTTGGGGAGTATTTTTAATCAAGATTGAAATCTTATGTGTGATTATAGTTCGGATTTCAACCACATAATTCAATTGACCTCTAAGAATTAATGTGTATTTTTTATGAATATACGAGTGTTATTTGTCTTATTTTATTCCTTAGATATATTATTTAAATTAATGTATCTTAATTTTCTCCTCCATAGGGATTTCATTGCAAACATCAATTTTCTAGTAAGTATTATATTTTCATTCTTATTATATTTAATTCATTCTTGAGATCAGGAAAGCAAAACTTTTGAATGACCAATCAGCCTGAAAACTCATTATTATTATTTTTTGAAATTTTCTTCCTATTTGAGGACCTTCTTATTCATCCTAAAGTGTCTTGGATCATGTCAAGATATAAGCTTTTCTGTGAATGGCTTAAATAGTATGTTTGCTTTTTAACAAGAATTATTTTTTAAAAAATGAGGCTTCGATTCTCAGAATACAAAATATGTTATCACTCGTTGTACTATTTTGATTGTATCACCCATTGTCCCTCAAAGAAAATATCAGCACCTACACAAGTACTGCAAATGAATAATCATGGGCATACTCAATTGTCATATATACCAATGGTGTTTTTTTTTTCTACACCAACATTTCTGGATTGTAAATTATTGAATAAATAGCTATCAAAATCTTTAAACAGAGTTTTTGAATGGGTAAAACTTGCACACTAGCAAAGTAGAATAGTTACTGGACTATACATCCTGACATTGCACCAGCAGTCAAGCTATTGTATGTTGTTGTATGTTCCAAATTCATTTGTCGGTAACTCTTGTTATAGGCCAAATGTTCAATTTGGATGCAATCTATAATAAGAGTATGATATGCTTTTGATTGTTTGTATATGTGTGTCTTCAATGACTATCATCACTTAAAATCACTTAACATTTTTATTTATTATTATTACTAATTTATTCATTTTATCTTACCATTATTATTTTTTATAAATAAGGCAACAAATATACATAATATTCCCTCCTCCTGTTTCCCCCACAACAACAACCCTGTGAAGTAGATTGGCTGCAAGAGAGGGGTTGGTGGAAAATTACACAGCTGACTTTCATGCCCAAGGCAGGATTAGAACTCACAGTCTCCCAGTTTCTAGCCTGGCGCCTTAACCACTAGACCAAACTAATCTGTCTACTGCTCTACCCACAGTATTCTGTATTCAAGAAGGTGGATATAATGTTCTTGTTCTTAATCTGTTGTGGCCTGGGGTGTACTAGGTATATTATTCAAGCACTTATTTATTTATTTATTTATTTTATTAATCTATCTTATATGCCCGTGATGACGAACCTATGGCACATGTGCCACAGGTGGCACACGGAACCATTTGTGTGGACACTTGAGCCCCAGCCAAACTTACCTGTACTGCGCATGCCTTCCATCTGATTTTTGGACCGTTTGAGGCTGTTTTCGCCCTCCCAGAGGTTCAAGGGAAGCCTCTGCAGCCTCAGGAGGCTGAAAACGGGCCTGGAAGTGCCAAAACGGGCCTGTTTTCAGCCTCCCATGGCTCCTGAGGCTTCCCTTGAGCTTCCAAGAGGGGCGGAAACGGCCTCCCCCAGGCTCCCTCCAGAGGCTGAAAATGTGTGTTTTCGGCACACCACAACAAAAAGGTTCGTCGTCATGGTTAGATGCCGTCCATCTCTGCTGGAGATGACTCTAGGCCAGACGTGGTATTCAGCTGGTTCTGACCAGTTCTGGAGAACTGGTAGTGAAAATTTTGAGTAGTTTGGAGAACCGGCAAATATCACCTCTGACTGGCCCCGCCCGCATCTATTCTCTGCCTCTGAGTCCCAGCTGATCGGCTGGGTCTTCTTTTGTTGCCCTGCACAGGAGAACGGAGCTGGAAAGCAGGTTAGTGGGGTGGGGAGAGAATGGGATTTTGCAGTGACCTTCCCCTGGAGTTGGGTGAGGATGGAGATTTTACAGTATCCTTCCCATGCTACGCCCACCAAGCCACGCCCACAGAACTGGTAGTAAAAAATTTTTTTGTATCCCACCATTACTCTAGGTGGCTTACAATAATTAAAAGCCACTAAAACCATCAAAACATCAGAACAATAGAGATATGGAGAATCAAATGAATAAAGATACCTACATAAAAGGATTATAGAAAATATCAAATCTTGTAAAAGATTGTTCACAATCTGGGCTTTCTGTGTTTTTATTAGAGTAGATTGTTGTATTTCAGCTTTTATTGTACCCTTCATTCTTATTTTCAGAAGTTTCTTTATTATCTCTCTGCTTGTGGCCACTTGAATGTGCATTCCTACAGTCTTTGAGTCGGCAGAAAAGTACTCTGGCACAAGTTTCTTTATGTCAATTTCTAAGTCATTTTTTTTGTCTCGGTGATGAGGCCACCCAGTGGTGCTGTCTGCACACATTTGATATTAAGGAACGGGATTGGCAGATCCCCTGGCTTCATTTTTTCTTTAATGGGCATTGTCTGGTGATGAGAAAAATATCCACCCATCACTCTTCCTTCTATGAGTTGGGACTGGGGCTGAGATTGGGAGGACAGAAAGATTTTATCAGGAGGCTAAACTTGGAGTCCTGATCTATTTTATTGGGCAGCCCCTTTCTTTCACAAAACGATCCTCAGGGCAGCCGATGTTGTCACCTGAATATCAGTTTGAGAGGAATTGTTTTATTTTATTTTTATTTATTTATTTTGTCAAGCATGCATTTGATAATATATATAAGTATAAACATGATTATTAATACATGAAATAGATATGATCTAAGTATGGTATATAAAATCATACATTGCAATGTCCTACCTGTCAATGAATACTTCAGCTTCAACCATAACAACACAAGAGCAAACAATAGATACAAACTCAAGGTTAATGACACCAAACTTGATTGCAGGAAATACGACTTCAGCAACAGAGCGGTCAATGTCTGGAATACTCTACCAGACTCTGTGGTTTCTTCCCCAAACCCCCAAAACTTTAACCTTAGACTGTCTACTTTTGACCTCACCCCTTTCCTAAGTGGTCTGTAGGGGGTGTGCATAAGCGCACCAACATGCCTACCAACCCTGTCCTATTGTTTCTTTTATTTTTCTTATATGTACCCATTTCATGTATTCATAACTATGTATATACTTATACCTATTATCTTGTAAGCGATTGACAAATCAAATAAAAATAAATAAATAAATGAATAAAAGGGAACATTAAGACAAGGATGGTAGGCACCTTTTACGCTTATGCATGCCTCTTACAGACCTCTTAGGAATGGGGTGAGGTCAACATTAAACAATTAGTAGACAGTAGGGAAGCAAGGCTCTACGGATCACAAACCATCTCCTTGTGCAGTGATGACATATCAAAGGTGATATTTTTGGTGACACACCACTGCTCCCCAACTCCTAACGAATATTTTTGAAAGCATTTCCCATTTTTTGGGAGGTTTTGGAAGCTGCACAAGCTGCACGAGAATGGTGTATGCTCTTGTATGGCCTCTGGGCCCTATGGGAGTCATGTGAGAAGGTCATGTTCTTGTGTGGCCTTCTGAGTGTCTGAAAATTGTGCAAGGCCTGTTTTCTGTTTTGATGCAGTGTTCACAGCATTCTCTGAAGCTACTTCAAAAACAAAGGCCTTGTGCAATCTCGAGCAGGCTCGGCTAGGCCACAGGTGCTTGTCAACGGAAAGAGAACGCTGCCATCTTGGGAAATGATGCTAGGCAGCCATTTTGAGTGACTTTGGTGGCCTCTACTTCAGATCCAACCTCAGTGCTGCTGATGAGTGCCACCGTTCAGGGTAGCTGAGATTGGCGGCGGGGATGGGGTAGCGGGGCAGAGAGAGATTTATTTCTGAATAGAATCTCCATTGTTATAAAGATTGAGCAGTGGTAATTTCAATGGAAAAAGAATATTCAGTTCATTTTATACATCTCAAAGAATTGATATAAGATATTTTATAGCTAATAAGGCTAAATGATGGCTAAAATGTGTAACCCCACCCCCAATCCTGGAAATGATCAGATGGGGTCTTTCTTCCAAATCCAATGTTAATGTAGCAAAACTCAACAGCATTGGAAATTAATTCTTTGCAGAATGGAATGAAGTTTGAAAGTTATAGTGTCACTTCAACTGGCGATATTTCTATTAATCTTTACTAAAGCGCACACTCCTTCAAATTATACTGACCTGGCGTAGTTTAAGATAATAGCTACAAGAATTTTGTCTGCTTTTATTGGAAAAGATCCTTCTTTTCCGCTATGGAAGAATGGTTAATTAAACTGTGGAAATATGCTTTGATGTCTAGAATAATCTCATTGTCTAAAAAAAAAAAAATCTTCTGTACAATTCAGTCATATTTTGAAAATATTTTTGGAATACAATTCTATGCATAGAATGGTAGCATAACCCTAATTTGGTCCTCTGGTTATTCATTTTTGGGGGGAGGCAAGGGAGGGGAAGCATTTAACCAAATAGGTCTTTTATTTCCAAGTCAATTGTGTAACTTAAGAGAACATTAATTAAACAATCAAGAGTTAGATTGGTATAATGGTTAGAGGCACCAGGCTAGAAACCAAGAAGCCATGTGTTCTAGTCCTCACATAGGAATGAAGCCATCTGGATAATTTTAGGTTAATCTCTCTCCCCTTCCCCCCTCCCTCCCTCCCTCTCTTCCTCTCTCTCCCCCTCTCTCCCCTCCCTCTCCCCCTCTCTCCCTCTCCCCCTCCCTCCCTCCTTTTCCTTCTCTCCCCTTCTCCCTCCTTCCCTCCCTCCCTCCCTTCCTCTCTCTCCCCCTCTCTCCCCCTCCCTCTCTCCCTCTCCCCCTCCCTCCCTCTCCTTCTCTCCCCTTCTCCCTCCCTCCCTCCCTCCCTCTCTTCCTCTCTCTCTTCCTCTCTCTCCCCCTCCCCCCTCCCTACCTCCCTCTCCCTCTCTCCCCTTCTCCCTTCCTCTCCCTCTTCCACTCTCTTAGAAGAGAGAGGTAATGAGACACTGTTTCTGAAAATGTAACCAATAAAACTACAAGGACTTGTCCAGGCAGTTGCCAAGAGTCAAAAATGATTTGAACACCAAAACATGTTTCACACGGGGAATAGGTTTTCTCCTTGGCAACCATTTTGCCCTGTGGGTGACACATGCACTAGTCATCTTCCTCAGAAATGAAATATTTCGTCAGATCCTAAATTGGCCCAAGACATTATGGCCAATGAACATAAAATTCCTTCTTCCAAGGGAAGACTCTTGATTGTTCCAAAATTCTCTGTTGTGTTAAAGTACAATAGGTACTGATGAATTATGCAACTAGCCCTCTTGAGTCAGAATTGGCTGGACAGGGGATATATTTACCATTGTTTTTTAGAAGATGTGACTGAAATATATGTCTGTAGTGCATTGTTTGACTTGTAAACGTCTCTCCTCCCCTATTAGTTATGACCGATGGTCATATAGACACCTGAGTTTTTCTCCAATGATTTATAATGTTCTTTAGCTATTTCAAGTTTGTTTTTACAGAGAGGCACATATATACATATATGTTTGTTACCTTTACAGTGGAGGCTGTGAGCAGTTTCTGCCATCCTGCGCCTGCCTCCCTTTCTCCAGTTAATCTTAAAAACATGAAACTTGGGACTACAATGAAGTGTGAAGATCACAGGCATTGCTCTCTCCACTTAAGTGTCACGGCAAACCTGCAACTTAATGGTAAATCAGATGATTTCATAGGAAATGTGGATCATAACTGAGGGCTCTTGTTCAGTGGATGAGAATGTGCAGAAAACCCCAGTTCTATTTCCTGTTCTCTAGGGAGATCTAGGAAGAACTCCCGTATTTCCTGGAAAATGATGCATATGAGAGAAGAGGAAACGTAGGGCATTCCTGAGAAATCCTTCTGGATAGGGTTCCCATCACAATATTGGTGACGGGGACATGGTGATTCCATCTGGGAGTTCATACTTGTTCTGATACCCAGGGCTTGTACACACAAGCTGGTCTTGGTGTAGAAGATTCTCTTGGGGGGGGGGGTAGTGTCAATAGGTTGCATCATTAATTAATGCTACCAAATTTGAATTGCAAGGAATAGATGATCAGTAGATAGCAGCAAAAGGATGGGAATTGTTGTATTGTTTGCTCTTATCCTGTGGTCACACCCGTATATACAAAGGCAATTTAAAACAATGTTTTAAATTTACAATGGGAGAATATACCTTGGGTTTTTAAGATGCCTCCAAGTACCATTAAGAAACTACAAATTAAATGAATGCAACTGGAAAGAAATCAAGAAAGATAGCTGTATCAAAGAAAACAATAAGAGTTGTTTTTGTGTGGTAAACAAACCACTGTAAATCAATATTCCCAGTTGCATGAAGACAACAGGATTCCATATTGGAATCTATGAAAATACTTTCTCTAGCAGAAATTTTAGTGGAGATAAAGGAGATACGAAAGTAGGAAAGTCACCTGTCTAATCAGTGTTGACCTTATTGGATTTGGTCAAGCAGGATTGGCATTTACAGAGGTTGGCTACTAATACACTTTAGCTCAATGAAAGTAAAATTAAAAATTGGACCCATTGCTGTTTTCTCCTACATTTTATTTGGTAGAACTTTGACTGAGGAGCATTCAACTTTCAAAAGTGAGGTGCTCATCTTTGATTAGCCTACAGGTTCTAAAAGTTATGCTGTTTGTTTCAGGGGGCTTTTTATTTCTATGGTTCATTCATAAAAGGTCCCCCTCTTTCATAATATGCTATTGGAAGTGAGTAATAATTCCTTCCCCTCAAAGTCTGTTTCTTTGAATTCTGAATTTGCCATTTTTTCTACATTATTTTCAGAAAATATGTCTGGTGTTCGAATTTGTTATCTCTTGATGGTTACTCAAAAAACCAAGTGTGTGAAAGTGAAGATTTCCAGGGGGCAAAATGCCCATCTTGAGCGAAATAAGGTAAAAGATCTCAGTTGTTTTTGTCATTTTATTGGAGCAAAATTTAAATAATCTAGGAAGAAGGTGGTGTAGTGTCTCTCAACCTAAGAATTCATTTTTTTTTAAGCTGACAGGGCAAAGTTATATGTTCCGAGGTAAATATGGTGTTCCCGTTTTCTACTTTATAGTGCTATGAAGTTATTTACAGAACAGAGTTGGATAGAGTCAGCTTTTTGAGGAAGTTGAAAGAAAAAATACCAACCATGAGTATTCAAACTATCTTTATTTGAAGGTTACATTAACAGAATCTTGTAGGTCTATAAGTACCATTTACTTTTACTCTCCCAAATACTAAAGAGAGTCCCTTCTGATATGCTTTGTCTATCCCCACATCTACTTTGGATTCACATTTCTCTTATTTGATTGTTGTCTAGGCTGTGATTCTTCCTTCTACCTTCCAAGGTCATTCTCACAGATCATTACAAATAGGAAGGCTTGTGGATCTTCCCTTGCAGACTATCTCCTTATATATTTTGTCAGCTATCACTGAGGCTGCTGAAAAATCCAGATGTACTTATTTATTTAATAAATTGATATGGCAGCTCATTTCACTGAATGTGATTTTGGGTAGCATACAACCAACACTTAAAACAATGTTATAGCTATTTTAAAAAGCTAAAAATATAAATAAAAGCAAGATTGCTGGAGAACACGCACCTAAGCACAATATAATAATTATGCAGGCTTTCCATGGAATGTCCAAGGCTGCTGGAAAAGTTAGGTTTTGGGGGATTTTCTGAAAGATTATCAGGGATGGGCTAACTTCACCTTCGGCGCAGGGATGATGTTCTAGAAGGCAGGAGGAACACGCCACCTGGGTCCCATCGGATGAAAGCAAAAGGGGCCCCCAACACAACCCTCCTGCTGGACCTGATGGGATGGGAAGATGTGATCAGGAAAAGGTGGTCCCTTAAATAGGCTGGCCCCATGCCATGTAAGGCTTTAAATGTGAAAACCAGTACCTTGAATTGCATTCAGAACAGTGGTGGGATTCAAATTGTTTTACCACCAGTTTGGTGGGCATGGCTTGGTGGGGTACTTTGCCTAATGCCAGCACGCATCTTTTCCCACACCAGCTGAGACCTGCAGCGCCAATCAGCTGAGAGGATAAAGACGAGAAAAGCGTAGGAGTGGGTGGGGAGTGCTGATCCTGCACTTTCCTCTTCTTTTTCCTCTCAGCTGATCGTTGGCTTTTTTCCCTCCTCTCAGCTGATCGTCAGCTTTTTTTCCCTCCTCTCAGCTGATCGTCGGCTTTTTTCCCTCCTCTTAGCTGATCGTCGGCTTTTTGTAACTATTGTTCCTGGAGAACCGGTCTGAACAGGTAGCACACCACCATTGATTCAGAAGTAAGGAGCACCAGTTCAACTCACAGAACAGACATACAACTATCCATGCAGCTGTAATTCTGCATCAGTTGAAACTCTCAGATACTCTCAAAGGGAACCCCATGAAAAATGCATTAGTAGTAATCTATTCTGGAAGTAACCAGAGCATGGGTGTCGGGGAGTAGAGCCTACAGTGATTCAGTAAAGGGTACAAATGTTACACAATATGAAGCCGTGCAAAGGCCCTCCTAGCCACCACTGCCACTATGCCAGTAACTCATATATCATTGTGTAATGGGATCACGGCATGTGTGTGACATTATTTTGTCATCATCATAGCTTCCAATCTCCAATGTTGGCTCTGGAAGTTATTTTTGGATTAGAAGTTATCTATTCATTCTACGCAGTTCTGGCATTTAAGTTTATTTTCCACAATATTATACCAGCCAAATGGTTGTCTGGCCGAAGTAAGAATGAAGGTATTTAAACTATTTAAATAGCAGGATCCCCAACACTAGTACAAAAGGAACAAGAATTGGTTCAAATTGTTTCCACATTCACTGACTGATTACTGTCTGTCTCCAAGAGTATTAGGTTTACGTCTACCTTGTGCTATGAAAATTAGTATGATGACTATGTGTGGGCTAAGAATACTGCATGCCATTGCTCCCATATGGATTTATTTAAAAAAATGATTTATGAAAACATAAAATCAAACAATTATTCCCCATAAGCTTAGTTACATGCCTCATGCTCACTTCACATTTTCACAGAAAATATTGTGTACCTCTCTCTTGCTTCAAAAGAGAAGAATTTCCAACTAATCTGCCAATTCCTGAAATCTGGTTTGGCAATATACTTTTACAGACTTCTTTTTAAAAAAAGCAGCAAATATGTAGATATTATGATTAGGAAACGTTACTACAGAAAGGGCATCTGGGGATTTTCCAGAAAAGCTTATACCTCATAAAAATACTTTGAGTTTTATATTGATTCATGGGTAAAGGTTTGAACATTTCCTCAAAGTAGATACTGTTGGTATATACCAGAGGTGGTATTCAGTGGGTTCTGACCAGTTCTGGAGAACCAGTAGCAGAATTTTTTTTTAAAGCAAATTTTATTAATTTTACAAAACAATATACAGACAAACAAAACATAAAATATAATAACATATGAAATCTTTTTCTGAAAAAACCAATACAACATCTTATTTAAAGACAGAGTAATTCCAAAATATCACATTTCCATATAAACACAATTTAATATATATATTTACTTTATCTGTTCAACTTCATATCTTGTCCCAACTCTCTTTATTACTCCCTTTCCTTCTATTTATTCAAATTATATCTCTTTTACTTTAGATTGTATACATTTTTTATATACATCTGTCTTATTTATGATTTCATTGTTCTCTTCCAATACACAAACAGACAAAACATAAAACATAAAAAACATAAAACATCTTTTCTGAAAGTTGCTTGATCCTGGGTTAAAACTCATCGTACAGACACAACTTCAAAAATCATGTTCCTTTTATATACCATTCCATATCTTATTACCATTTTCCATTTTCTATATAGCTTCTTCCTTCTTTTAACTTACTTAGTTTTATTCTACTTATCTCATCTCAGTTCAAATCATAATACTTGTCATTCTTTGTCTGTTCTCAGCTATCCATTCATCTTTTCTCTTTAAACAAAACTTCTCCTGTACACTGATTGGAGTATGACGCCTTTAACTCTTTCCCCTAACCTAATAATACTTAATATCACACATAACTTGTATTGGGATTCTGTTTAGTACATTCTAAAATTACACAATGTATTATATAGAAAGAAAAAAGAAAAAAAGAAAGTACAACAACAAAAGAACAGATTTATAGATATATAATGTGGCTAGTACCACTGTCAATACCATTAAGAAATTAATCATACATCTTAATACTCATTTATATCTTAAGCATTTTATTCTAAAAAACACATATAAAAACATAATCTTATGTACCTTACAGAATCCCTTTTTCAATTAAATTTACCCATTGCCTCTAAAAGGATTTTGTTTCTTTAAATCTTGCTTCCCATCATTAAGGCTTCTCATTCCTTCCTTTCTCCCTTGCTTATTCTTCTCCTTACCCTTTTTACCCCTTTGTCTCTCCACCTCCCTTTTCTTCTTCTGCTTTCCCCCTTTCTGTTGTTTCCTAACCTTATATCCACCTTTCAACTCATTTTTATCTTTTTTGGTTGTCTTTTTAAGTCTTAAAATCCCCTTTTTCTTTTCCTCTTTCTTCTCCTCCCCAAATAGAATCACATGTTCATCAAAAATGGCTTCTTCTTTATCCCAGTCGTCCTGCTGCACAATCGATTCTCCATAAGTACGTACCACCATTTCTAGAAATTGAAAAAGAGTGCCCAAAGTATCTTTCCATTCTTGTTCTTCCTTTTTATATTTTTGATATTCAGTTTTTTATTCATCCACAGATAATGCCATTATAAAGAGAAAAAAGTTTTCCCAAAACAGCCACCAATGTGCTTTTAAGCAAAAATAATTCCCAGAAGATCCAAAGTCACCAAACAATCCAGATAAACTATTTCTTTTAGCACTTTTTCCTTTCTTCCATTTCTTTTTCTGGGGTTACTGTTGACTCACAAAGTTCCAATTAAAATATGTCTTTTTGAAGTCTTATTAATGTTCAAATAGCTCTTTGAAATTCTAGGCAGTCTCCTCCTTGTTTTCAAATTCTACTCCAATTTTTTTCCCTCTCCCTTCCCACTTACAGCATAAAAAGATTTTTCTTTAAATATTCAGAAATCCATATCCCCTTAGCATTAGCATAGTCTTTAGCATTTAGCATACCTCCAATGCGGGTTTTCCAATTTCTCATAAAGTTCTATCGCTGTTCCGTTTGGAAGGAGAGTGAAAAAAAAAAGTTTTCCCTTTAATATCCATTCGCCGCTTGTACAATCTGGGAACAATGTATCTTTAGTAAATATTAAATATCAGGATACTTTCATTGTTGCTTTGTCCTGGTCAGCAAAGATCACTTTCACTTCTTCACAGCTCCTCCTGCACTTTCTTTTTCCGGCTGAGCTCTTCTATGTGGCGGCCATTGCTGACCGCCGCTCAGCTGCCTTTGGAAAAGGGGATTTAGCCGGCTAGGGAAGAGAGATGTGATGTCTCTCGTCCCTGCCAGAGCCCCCCTGTCTTCACCACCTTCTGCAAAGGTGGCTTATAGCCCTGAAGCCGGATGGCTCGGGGCACTCGGGCAGTGAACCAGGCAGAAACCGCGCACAGTCGCGGATTCCTGCCTGCACTGAAGCGCTGCGGACCGGAAGTCGCCCCAGTAGCAGAAATTTTGAGTAGTTCAGAGAACCAACAAATGCCACCTTTGACTGGAGATTTTACAGTATCCTTCCCTTGCCATGCCCACCAAGCCACATCCACAGAACCAGTAGTAAAAATATTTGAATCCCACCACTGGTATCTACATCTATATCCATATGCTCATCTGAGCCCATTTGAATTGATTGGATATAGTATTTGATGCATGGGGGAATAAGAAATACAACCCCAGTTCCAAGGCCAATGATGTTTATTTTTCGCCAGCTTCCTGCAAAGAAAGCTAAATCTGAGCCAATATTGCAATGCAACAAAATCTTTTAGATGTTTTACTTTGAATGAAATCCTCCTCTATTACTTATGGTGTGTATGTGGGCTGTAGAAGAGAGTCCTGTCTTAAGTTATAGAAGCTATAAGGATATGCCTTTTTATGTTTGCTTTTGTTTTTTTTTTGTCTTTTTTCCGTTTTTTTTTGTATTTTAACTTTTTAAAAATAAAATAGAATGAAGAAAACAAAGGATATGCCTCCACATGTCAACATTTCTGACCTTAACAATAATAAATTTCTATATTAGAATCACTACTATTGTATCATAAACCAAATCTATGAGTTTAATATAAAATACAATTTGGGTCCTGGCTCAGGAGCCCGGTCATTTTTGCTTTAATGAAGGGGCTAGGGTTGCTTCCTGGATCTTCAGTGGATGGGCAAGTTCTAACAGTAGGGCAGAGCTCCTACAATTTCAAGTAGATTGCTGTATAGTCCCAATTGTCAAAACTCTGAGTGATGAATTAAATTTGGAATTTTATCAATGCATTTCTTGAAACAGGACAGCGTTTGGAAACCTAGAACATAATTAAGTGAAATCTAGGAAATTAATAAATACAGAATAACATAATTGAAAGGGTCCTTAGAAATCTTCTATTCCAACCCGCTTGCTCAGGCAGGAAACTCTATACCAGTGGTGGCTAAACTTTTTGGGCTTCTGTGCTAAAAATTCTGTGTGCGCTTGCACGCGTGCGCTTGCGTGCCAACACCCAGAAGGAAATGCACACACACACACACATACACACCCATGCCCCCTGCGCAGGTGCGCACAATCCCCCCTGCCACCCCCTTAACTGCACTGTGCCTCCCAGCTCATTTTCTGCCTGTTTGAGGCCTTTTTCTGCCCTCCAGAGGCTTGATGAAGACTTCTGCAGCCTTTGCAGGCCGAAAAAATGGGCCCATTTAGTCACTTTCAATATTTCTGGAAATACAGGAAGTGACAAAACAGGCTTATTTTTCGCCCTGCAAAGGCTTTCCACACGCCTTTGGGAAGCTGAAAATCAGCTGTGAGATGCGCGCATGCGCAATTACGTAAATTTCCCTGCGGCTCGCGTGCTGGCACAAATGGCTCTGTGTGCCACCTGTGGAACGCGTGCCATAGGTTCGCCATCACGGGCCTATACCATTTCAGACAAATGGTTGTCCAATCTCTTTAAAACCTCCAGTGAAGGAACACCCACAATTTCTGGAGGCAAGCCATTCCACTGGTTAATTGTTCTCACTGTCAGAACATTTCTCCTTCTGCCAGAATTATTCAGGGTAAGAGAATACAATAAAAATGACACATAATATTAATACATTTGAAAAATAATCTTAGCAGAATGCCTGTTTCCTTGTGCTCTTATTTTGTGAAGTAGTGTCTAAACTGAAGATTCTTTTCATGCAAACAGGTCAAAATACAATTTAATTGCTTTGAGGTCAGTGTGGGACAACATCTCTACGTAACCATGACAACAATTCCAAATTATTGTGGAGTTAAACAGACTCAAGAATATTATGTTGAAGGTAGGAACCATTAAAACATGTTGATCTTGTGTATGTACATGCATGCAGCTGGGTGCCCTTGCATGTTTATGCTAATGGAAATTGCTAAAATGAAGATGATGCTGACACAAATATCAGTTCAGGTGATTTACAACCATTTTCCAACTGTTTGAAGTTACAACAACACTGAAGAAAGTAACCGACGCCTGGTCCACACACTTACAAATGTTGCAGCATCTCCACAGTCAAACGGAGCTGCATGTGTGTTTGCCTGCCACACATGAAAAGCCACCCTCTTTCCTCCTCCCACTGCCTGTCCACCAAGCTGAAAAAGTTGGGGAACTCTGTTTTAGATCATGCCTTAAAATCAGGATATTGAATTAAATGGCTGTTACTTAATTGCAACAAGAGTACTTTGCGATCTAAAAGTTCGTGTTGTATCAGTAATCCCCCGGCCACATGAAGAACAACTTGTAGCTTCCTAGCAAAAATCCAATTAACTCCATGTACAACTTAGGGTTTCCTGTCAATACAATAAGAAGGAAAAACAAACAAGCCTTTAATCAAGCAGTACAATACTAAATTTTAGGATGTCCATCTTATTTCTATTGTAGTAGTACTACTACTAGTAGTAGTAGTGCAGATTATCTTGTGCTTAAGTAATATTACTACTACCTGTGATTTTAAAACTGTGATACAGTATCTAAAAATTATTCCTGTGACTATCTAACATTCATCTGATGAAAATAAAAAGATATTAATATCATTTTTATAATAAGTTTTCAGTCTATTTGGGATATACAGTACTGCTTTTTGAAACAGCTGTTAAAGGCTATGCAAAACTTTGGTGGGACATTTTGCTTCTGTGAAGGTTTATGCAAATTTCCAAAAGCTGTTTCACAAAGCAACATGTCCCCAACACCCTTGCAACCAGCTTTTAATGTCAAACCAGCTACTTTCCTTCGCTCTAGCACAGGGGTCTCCAACCTTGGCAACTTTAAGACTTGTGGACTTCAACTCCAGAGGAACTTCAACTCTGGGAGTTGAAGTCCACAAGCCTTAAAGTTGCCAAGGTTGGAGAGCCCTGCTCTAGCAATTCTAATTGCTGAAAGAGACTTTTGCTAACATGCTCTTTCTTGAATTGCTGGATGTGGCAACTTGCACGTCTGGACTTTCTCATTCTGCAGCCTAGTATCTTTCACTGAGGTGAAGTCAAACCAATAATGAGGGAAAGAAGACTTTTTTTTCACAAAGAATTTTAGATGCAGTTTGCTTTGTTGGAATCTGTTCCTATAGTTAGGAAGCACAAATCTGACTGGTTGTGGAGAAGATATACTTGTTTTTGTCCTCCACCTATTACGGTCCTTTGAGAACTTCTGAAGTACAGGAGAAGTGCCTAGAGATTGAAGAGCTAACAATCTTTGAAAATGGGAGAAAAGCGGACTCAGAAAACTATAGACCAATCCACTTGACATCAAAACCTAGGAAAATTCTAGAATAGTGATTCTCAACCATGGCCACTTTAAGATGTGTGGACTTCAACTCCCAGAATTCATAGCTGGCTGGAGAATTCTGGGAGTTGAAGTCCACAAATCTTAAAGTGCCCAAGGTTGAGAAATACTGTCCTACAAAAACATTCGTGTTATGACCCTGCTAGACATATTCTCTGATAAGGAAGATGGAGAGGAAGTAGAATCAGGTGTATTTAAAGACAATAAATTTAGCAGTGGTGGTGAAGCCAATGATTCCATTCTGGTTGAAGCAGGCCCATTAAGTCTCCAAGCCTCCTTAACTGAACCCACTGACAGTTCAACCACCCAGTTGTAGGCAGAGGTATGTGATAAAGAGTCCACAACAGAGAGCAGGATTCTGCAAATCTGAGAAATCTGCCAAGAAGCCAACATAAGGGTCAATGCTGAGGAGCAAGCTGCCCTAACTGTGTATTAAAGACGCACAGCATGGTTGACTTATTAGCTTCACTCCTGGAAGCAGAACAACTATTCAAGCCTCACTTCTATCATGTTCACTTTGCTGTGCCATGCTTAGAACTCTGGATTCCATTTCGTTAGGCCTCTTGTCTAGTCCCTTGGATTTGTCACTTATTTATTGGATTCCTGGTGTTGACCTGTGCCCAGTCTGTGAATGTGGCTTGCATATCCTGTGACAGATGACTCGGTATATCAATAAAAAGGATTCTTCCAAAAAAATTCTGCTTGAGCTTCCATAATGCTGGACGTTGGCAAGCATCCAGCTTGCTGTCTTGATGACTGGCAGCCAGCAGTGCAGGCACATAACATCAAGTAGTGGATTTGCAAGCACTTAGAAAGGAACAAGGTGATTACTAGAAGTAAGTATTGGTTTATTCAAATATATATTGCCAGGGAAAAATATCCAATAAATTTGTCTGACCTAAAGTCTCATCTTGTTTTGTGTCAGAAAAACAGGAACTAGAAAGGTGGAAATTATTAATTTAAATTTTAAAAGATTAAAAACTTTAATAAAAACAAAAATTTATATAGTTTTAGCCCAATGCCGAAAGTGGTCTAAAACAATAAGATTCATAAACCAAGGGACTGCTGAAATGGAGTTAAGACTACAGTAAAACCTATGATAAACTTGACAATAGTCTTCTTAATAAAATGGAACAATGTGGGGTGGATAATTGCAATTAGTGGAATGACTGCATCCTAGTGCCTCTTGGGTTTATATGTACATAGAGAAAACATTTGGGAGAAGTACCGGGGCCTGAAGAGGAAATGAGAGGATGTGAAAAGTGAAGGCCAAAGAGATCCCAGTGGTAGTAGGAGCACTCAAGGGCTGTGACTCCTCAATTGGAGAGGTGGCTCTAGAAGTGGTGTTTAGCAAGTTCCGGCCAGTTCTGGAGAACCGGTAGCAGAAATTTTGAGTAGTTCAGAAAACCGGCAAACACCACCTCTGACTGGAGATTTTACAGTATCCTTCCCCTGCCATGCCCACAAACCACGCCCACAGACCTGGTAGTAAAATTGTTTGAATCCCACCACTGGGTGATTCCAACAGATCCCAGGAATGACATCAGAACTCTCTGTCCAGAAGAGTGTAAGGTTAGGAACAGCTAAGATACTGTGCAGAACCCTCAAATCTTCAGGCTAGAGGGCCCAACATTATGAAAGACATATACCCATAGAAGTGAGAATTTTTTTTTATATTTAAAATAATGTTATCAGAATACTGAGTGAATAATGTGATTCCATGTGAACCTTTTTAATTAAGCAAATTCATTACTCCTTTCTTCCTATCATTCCTCCCTCCAGGAAGGCTTAGAATCACACTAAGTTGTAGCTTAAGTGAGCCATTATATCGTTAGGTTCACAAAAAGCACTTCTCCAAAATCAAAGCAATCACACATAGACCTAGAAGCAGAAAGAACATAATTGTATTTGAGAAAAAAAAATCCCTTCTTCAGGTTGTCACTCCAACTAATTCCCTTATTTATATCATAGCTGAATCAATTAAATATGCATAATCTGTATACTATTAAGGGATTTCTACTGATTTCTGACCATCCCTCATGAAAATAAAACAGCAGATGTCTTAAGAAAACAAACATGTTGAAAATCTGTTTTTTATTTTGCAGACTGCAGAAACAATGATGTGGGGAAAAATATTCCAGATTGTTTTGGTAAGTTGAGGACTCCGCGGTCTAAAAACAGTAGCATATTTATTAGTCTACTGAATGTTTCATCAACAATGACAAATGAGTATTATCTATCAAATTCAGCTTGATTCCTAAGTAGTTCTTAAATTCTTCTTTTTCTTCTGAAGCTGGCCACCTGGGCTTGAATCAAGGAGTCCAGAAATAGGACACAGTGAGGGCTGGAATGCAAGAGTAGCACAACTTACTAAGAAAAGGGTACAAAGATGAGGGATCAAAGTATTTTCCAAAGCATTAGAAGGCAAGGCAAGAAATAATGGATAGAAACTAACCAAGGAGAGAAGCAACCTAGAAGGAGAAATTTCCTAATGGTGAAAGCAATCAACCAATTGAATAGCTTGCCTTCAGAAGTTGTTGGTGCTTCGTCACTGGAGGCTTTCAAAAAAAAGACTAGACAACCATTTGTCTGAAATAGTATAGGGTTTCTTGCTCAAGCAGAGAGTTGGACTAGATGATCTCCGAGGTCCCTTCCAATTCTATTAATCTATATTCTAAATAAGATCTGAAGGTAATGAAGATTCCTTTTAACCAGTGCCTGAAACAGTCTGGCCAGATTGAATATGGAAGTCTTAGACTAGCTACTGGGTCCTTTGATTTGAACTTTGTTGTACTTTTCACCCTAGCTTTAGGTGTTTTCCAAATCTGATGTGTGTGTGTGTGTGTGTGTGTGTCTCTGTGTGTGTTTAATCAGATGGGGAACAGAGCAATGGCTGAATACCTGGTAGTTTAAGAAGACAGTTCCACATATATCTTTTGAGACTAAAGATCTTGAATTTCCTTGTCAAAAATAAATGTAATTCAAAACCTGTATGTAATAATTGGAGAACAAGTTTAGTGTAATGGTTAAAGGCGTCAGGCTAGAAAGCCAGTAATTGAGAGTTCTAGCATGAAGCCAACTGGTTGACCTTGGACCAGTCTCTCTCAGCTCTAAGAGGAAAAAACAAAATGGTGAATCACTTCTGCCAAGAGAAACTGCAGAAACTTCTTCTGGCAATTGACAAGGGTAACACTGACTTGAAGGCACTCCCTTACACACACACACACTCACACTCTTTCACACACAGAAAGGAATTATTACAAAATGCATACGATTTCTAGTGCTTTACTTAATTTGACCTACTTCCAATTGGACCTACTACTTAAGGGACCTACTTCCAATTGGACATCTGCAGTCTGAGACATTTCATCTTGGGATTCCTTAAGAATTGACACTTGGTACTACAATTTTACTTATATTTACTCCAGATGAATTTGTATAATTCTACACTAACATTCAATAATTATTCAATTCAAATTTCCTACACAAATGACACTAATATTCCAAAATAAGTAACCCAAGAAGTCTGTCTGTAAGAGATGTGTGTAATTGCACAATCACGCCTATCATCCCTGTTCTATTGTCCCCATTCATACCTATTTCCTATATTCTTACTCATGTTTATACATATTCCTATTATTTATTTATTTATTTTATTTTATTTATTTGTCAATTGTTTACGAGATAAGTAAAAGTGTATACATAATTATGAATACATGAAATGAGTACATATAAGAAAAATAAAAGAAAAATAAAAGAAACAATAGGACAGGGACGGTAGGCACGTTGGTGCGCTTATGCACGCCCCCTACAGACCTCTTAGGAAAGGGGTGAGGTCAATAGTAGACAGTCTAATGTTAAAGTTTTTGGGGTTTGGGGAAGAAACTACAGAGTCGGGTAGAGTATTCCAGACATTGACCACTCTGTTGCTAAAGTCGTATTTCCTGCAGTCAAGCTTGGTGCGATTAACCTTGAGTTTGTATCTGTTGTGCGTTCTTGTGTTGTTATGGTTGAAGCTGAAGTATTCATTGACAGGTAGGACATTGCAATGTATGATTTTATATACCATGCTTAAATCAGACCGAAGACGGCGTAATTCAAGGTTTTCTAGTTCTAGAATTTCAAGTCTGGTGGCATAAGGTATTCTACAACGAGTAGAGGAGTGGAGAACTCTTCTTGTGAAATATTTCTGGACTTTCTCAATTGTGCTAATATCGGATACGTAATGTGGGTTCCAGACTGATGAGCTGTATTCGAGTATTGGTCTAGCAAATGTTTTGTATGCTCTAGTTAGTAGTGTGATATTACCAGAGAAAAAGCTACGTAAGATTAGGTTAACAACTCTTAATGCCTTTTTGGCTATGTAGTTGCAGTGGGCACTAGCACTTAGATCATTAGAGGTGAGTATTCCAAGGTCCTTTACAGAGCTTGGATCATCAACAAGATCTTGACTATTCAGCTTGTATTTTATTTTCAGATTTTTTTTGCCAATATGTAAGACAGAGCATTTATTTGTTGAGATTTGAAGTTGCCATTTGTTTGACCATTCTGATACACAGTCAAGATCTTCTTGAAGGGTAGCAGTATTGTCTGTGGTATTGAACAGCTTTACATCATCAGCGAAAAGAACGCAGTTGCTCTTAATATGATCACAGAGGTCATTTATGTAGAGTATGAAGAGAGTTGGTCCTAGAACACTGCCTTGGGGGACACCACTATTGACAGGTACAGAATTTGATAGGACACTCCCAATTTTGACCATTTGTTGTCTGTTTGACAGGAATGCTTCTATCTTGTAAGCGATTGACAACTCAAATAAAAATAAAAATAAAATAAAATTTAAACTCCTCAATTATCATGTCTTGTATGGACACAATTTTAGCTGCCAAAAATACAAATATAAAACAGTACATTACAGTTTTTTCTTTGTTGTAAATTTCAGTGAGCAAAATGGCTTATAATGTGGACAGAACAAGAAAGATCATTTCAGTGAATATTTCAGATGTCCAAAACACAGACTGTTATGTTCGTTTATGTCATCAAAGATTTGTATGTGAAGATGTGGGGCCTGTCACTTTGGTAAGTACTTAAAAGAAGCTGAAAATGTTTTATGAAATTAATTCGGCTAGCAAAAAAGTATAATACCTTTTACCTTACTGAAGGCATTTAAAGGGTAACATAATTCCATGGAAATTCTAAGAATAATAGAAATATATTTTTAAAAATTATTATTTTCCCCTTTTTCCTAACATCTGCACCATTCTTCCTTCCACCCTTTTTTCTTTTCCTTATCCCATTCCCTCAAGTATTTGAAGACATCTAATTGTGAGAAGTTAAATGAACAGAAGTTTTAAGAATTTCTAAATGCAAATGATAAGATTTGGACTTGTTTTCACTGTTAAAGTGTTTATAGAAAGAGAATACCACTTTATGAATATATCTATCTATCTATCTATCTATCTATCTATCTATCTATCTATCTAT